ATTAGATAGCAGTGACTAAATAAGTTTAAGTTTGTATGAGACCAACGTGCCAAACTTTATCAAAGACCTAGTACGTTGCTACTAGGTAGTATTTTTTTTTTTTAATATGATATAAAAAATAAAATAAATAATCTCAAACCCCAACTTCTTGTCAGGTGGCACTGACTGCTGGGAGCCTTCCTTCTCTGTAACTAATATTATTTTTTTTTCTTTTTAAGTCACCACACTTACTTATTATACACTGTATGTATAGATTGTAAATAAACTTTTATCGTCAATAAAAAAAAAAAAAAAATATGATATAATGAACTTGTTTTTGCCAAAAATATCACATTATTATTATTTTAAGTCAATAACGCTCACCATTAAACAGTGTGAATAGGTTTGTGACATGAATAGTTTAAAATTGGTTTTTTTTTTGGAAATTATATTTTATATTTAAATAATAATGAAATTTTTCAAGTTTTTATGATTAATATTACCAGTGGCGGACTGAACTTAAATTTTAAATGACACATTTTCATATTCAATACATATTATATACCACAGGGCTACTGTCAATACCAAATTATTAAAATAATCTGTAAAAGTCTAGTACATAGAATATTATAGATAGTAAGTCTAGTCTAGACTTACTAGTCTAGTATACAGTTGTATAAATTATTTACTTACAAAAAGTTAGCATGTAATTCAACGCCACTGGCACGGGCTGGTACCACCACTTATAAAAAGTTGACGCGGCTGCATCAAAACTTGACCCTTTCAGTCCGCCACTGAATTTAATAGTTTAAAAAAAATAATCACAAAAAATGGGTCATCGTAAACAATATTATTGATATTGATGAAAACTCATCATCACAAATATAACATTCATAAGTTATGAATCTACTTAAAATCACTACTGTTATGAATCATAACAGTAGTGATATTTTTAATATAACCAATGTACAGATGATAATATTGTTAATATAAATTATTGATCTTGTATGGGCCTATAATAATCTTTTTACTATTTTATTATTTTAAATACAAAAATATATCCATCATGTTATATATTATAAAAAAATTCAAATTTTTAAAACAGTTTTTAGTTTTTATCCATTTACAATAATCTGTATTTAATTTATAATTTATATAGATAATATACTTCTTGAAATCTGAGCTGAACACTGGAGATGAGAATCTACTATTTAGAGGAATATTTGTTTTTAAATAACGATAATAACACAAATAATGTAGCAGTGGCGGATCCAGGATTTAATTTTTGGGGGGGGGGCCCATGTTTGAGAGAATTTCTTATATAATGRTAATATAATAATAATATAAAATATATGTAATGATAATATTTCTTAAATTATAATATAATGTGTTTGAGCGAAACAATATAAAAGATAAAATTATAA